TTTTCGTCTATAATCTTCTCGATTCGTTCTACTTGATGCCGTTTGAGATCTTGTTTTATATGTCTTCTTATTTCTGTATTAAGGGTTTTGTATTCAGTTGTATTTCTTTTATTTTCTTGTAGTAGGCTTCTCCGTTGTTGTAGCATGTATAAAAATATGGCACTTAGTTTTGATTTTTTGTCTGATTTTGCTGGTGCTACTTCTAAGCTAGTCTTTAGAAGTTCTTCAGTGATGACTTTGTTTATTTGATCTAGATTTAGGTCTGTTAACTTCAGTTCTTTAGCTGTTCTTAATTTGTTTTGGTATTGTTCTTTATTCTCCTTTAATTTTTCTTGGTGGACTTTTTTCTTAGAGTGCACATATTGTCTTCGATCTTTTTTGTGTTTAATACTTATTTTAGCCCGTATCATTCTGTGATCACTACCAGTAGAGATTGAGTTTATTACTGTGACGTCTTCGAAAATGTTCTTTTTGCTTGTTAGTATGTAGTCAATTTCATTTTTAGTGTTCCCATCTGGCGACATCCTCGTCTATTTCCTATGTGGCTTTTTCTTGAAGAAAGAGTTCATGGAAAATAATTTGTTGTTTTCTAGATAGTTAACTAATAGATCTCCTCTTTCATTTCTTACTCCATGTCAAAATTCTCTAATACAGTTTTCGTTTTCTTCTAGTTTTTTGCCCATTTTCGCATTGAAATCGCCCATTATAATCGTGTAGGTAGTGTTTCGATACGTCATGGACTCTGTGAGGTGTTCATAGAATTCTTCGTCTGTGTGTGTAGATATTGGCGCATAAATCTGAATTATTTTTTAAGTGACCTTTTCGCTGATATTTATGATTAATAAAGTGATTCTTTCTGTTATTCCTACGTATTCCTCAATTTTATGAGCGTATTTTTTCGAAATCAAAACTTCTCTACCTTTAAAATACAATATGTTTCTCAAGGAAGTAATACACCCTACTAAATATCGTTTTTCATTAAAAATGTTTAAAATTAAAAAAATTAATTGTTTCATTACCGACTTAAATTTTTTAAATTTTATTCCTTTTTCTTTGTTAAATTCCTGATTTATAGTAAATTTTACTTTTGAATTTTGTTTATTATTAAATACAATTCAATTGGCAAAACCATATTCTTTTTTAAACGGCAGTTGTTAGGGAAAATCTAGGCCTTCGGTTAATTTTTTGCACTCCAGTATATATATATATATATATATATATATATATATATATATATATATATATATATATATATATATATATATAATATCAGTATCTGTCAACATCAGACCAATAACTGACTACGTACCATCAATTACATTTTATAGATCAATTTACCATGTTCCTGATTCTTTCTCAATATTCTACTTTTGCACCTTATTATATGGATAATACTGTCACAATATGTAATTGTTTATTAAAACTTATTCGCTAAAAATTGTACAATGGGAATTCACTCTATAAAATATTGCGGTTACCATAACTCCCAAATAAATTAAAATCAAAAAAAATGTCATTTATTTAAATTGGATATGTTATCAAAATTTAAATTTTTAATCTTAAGTTGTAAGTATTGAAATATTCATTTTGTTTACATATAATAATTATAATAAATTTACAGTTTTCTCCTGAAGAAGTCACAAAATCGTGACGAAATATTGAGAAATAACAAATAGAGTTTTATTTCATATAGACCAATTGCTGAGACTACAAATAATATTTAACACAGTACGGTCGAGAATAATTTGATAAATATATATATATATATATATATATATATATATATATATATATATATATATATATGTATTGTAAAAACTACAACCGTTAATTTATATTAATAAAGTATTCAAGTTGTGAATTCAGAGGTTTATTCGGTCATTCAGGTTGGCAAAATAAAAAACAGAAGTCAACTACTTCATAAGTTTATAGAAGACGTTTCGCTTTATACTTCTAAAGCTTCATCAGTTCTGTAAAATACAAAGATGACATAGAGTTTATAAGAAATACAGATCTAATAATTTATTACTTACAACTTAATATGTAGTATTCAAGATGATATTGTAAATGTACTTAAGTTTACTCATAAATTTAGAACTAACTTAAAAAAAAATTAAACAGAAACAAAGAACACAAAAACTTTGCAAAAAATAATATTCGCAGAAACGAAGATTTACAAAAATTTTAACCGTACATTTGGCTTCATTTAGAGATGGTTCTCCAATGAAGACAAACAAAACACTGATTTATTGCAATCTATGCAAAACGACGTGACGCGATACCGAAAGTTTTTAAGGGCCATATGTTCAACAATTTCCAAGGTTTGAGACAATTATGAACTTCTACGGGGGTCATTAAAAGATTATTTGGACGGGTGGATTTATATGACGGAAAAATTTGACGTGATTTTTTCTTTGTAATTTATGTTTTAATGAAACTTAGAGTTCTGGGATGATTAAGTTATTATTTTAAATGGAAAATAAGGCTATTTTCAATGAAAAATATTGGTATTATTTATTTCGTAAGATGAGAGAGTGGTAAACCTGGCTCAAATTGTCGATGTCGGTTCTTTTGTTTATTGCAGATGGGTTTTTTAGGATCTCACACATTTCAATAAAGGAGCGTTTTTGATGGTTATTTTGTTTCGCCAGTATTTTGGTATTTGAGAAGTCAATGTGATGTTTGGTGGAAATGGCGTGTTGTGCAAGGGCACAAGAGGGTTAGGAAAGTTTAATGTCGCTTTTATGTGAAGTTGTACGCCCTAGAAGTGAACGACTGGTCTGGCCAATGTAGCAGGAATTGCATTCAGAACAGGGGATCTGATAGACAACATTAGTGTGCTCTAACGAGCTTAGTGGAGTTTTGGACTTGGAGAATAACTTTCCAAGAATAAGCTAAATGTACGGTTAAAATTTTTGTAAATCTTCGTTTCTGCGAATATTATTTTTTGCAAAGTTTTTGTGTTCTTTGTTTCTGTTTAATTTTAAAGCTAGTTCTAAATTTATGAGTAAATTTACATTTACAATAACATCTTGAATACTACATATTGAGTTGTAAGTAATAAATTATTATCTGTATTTCTTATAAACTCTATGTCATCTTTGTATTTTAGAGAACTGATGAAGCTTTCGAAGTATAAAGCGAAACGTGTTCTATAAACTTCTGAAGTAGTTGACTTCTGTTTTTTATTTTGCCAACCTGAATGACCGAATAAACCTCTGAATTCACTAGTTGAATACTTTATTAATATATATATATATATATATATATATATATATATATATATATATATATACATGGAAATCAAATAGCAAACATTCTTGCATCATTCTTTGTTTCTGTTTAAAATGAACACCACAAAAACATGATATTTTATCTTTAACTGACCTGCGTCATGTCATCTCTCGTATCATTATTACGACACTTCGGAGTGTTGAAAAGAACAAAACAACAGCAATAATTAACAGAATATTATTCCATGACGCAATATTGATGCTTAATTAATAATAATCAACTAAAACAATGTAATTTTCATGTTTTTAATTCTGTATAGGAATTTAATTGGTCAATGGAACGATTACAATGCTGTTGAATAAGTAATAATCAAGTTTTATGTATAAAAACAAAAACGATTGTAAAAATATGAAAAAAAAAAAATGGTGTTATTACCAGTATTTAATGTTTCCATTATTGTTTATAAAAATCTAATAAAAGGAATTTATTTTGTCACGTGGAGATCTATATACGAATAAAACGTATATAGTCCGGTTAGTATGGGCGCTGGGGATGGGAAAAATAGTCTTTTTATAACAAAAGTGCTTGTTGCCCGAAGAAAGTGATAGTTAAAAATTGCTTAAACATTTTTTTTTAACAAATTGTCATATTTAATTTTTTTGTCACGAATAAGTTTTTTAGGTTAACTGGCTCATTCTGAACCAAGAGGTACTGTGTATTTTTGTTCTAAAATACATCGTTTTATTGGTATAAACAATTAAAGGTCAGAGATAACGCGAAAATGGCCATTTTTAAAACTCGATTACTCTGTGAAAAATGAATATTTTTAAATTTAGCAATCGTCAAACATAAGTGGACTTATCCACACTACAGTGGACAAACGTCATAACTCAAAACTTCGTCTAAATTCAAATTTGTAACTCAAACTTCTTCAGTATTAAATATTAAAATTGATCTAACTCAAAATAATTGATTAATTAGTTAATAAGTATACTTTTCATAAAAAACCTCAAAAAATTGTATTTCTAAGGTAATAAAAAGCATTTACCAAAGTAATCTAAGCTAAATGTTGTTTATAAGACCAAACTATAGCTGGTTTTAATGTAAATCATCTAAATATCCCATATCCAAAGAAAAATGAGTTTTTTCCTTCTCACCAAAAACTACATTTTTTTAATTGTGTCACTTTTGATGCAAGGGTGCTATATAGAGACTTGACGAACGTCTGAACTTTAACGTTCAAAACATATGATTATTTCTTACCCACAAGCTGAATCTTGCTTTAATGGAAAGATTATGATACTACAACATAATGGTAAAAAGGTTGCCCAAAGTTTGCCGCGGGAACCTGCTTATTATAAACAAAAGGTAAATTGGTTTAAAAAAATGTATTTGTCTAAAATTTCCATATTTAAAAAAATGGAACGAGAATATTTTTCCTAGCAACTGTGCCCATAACTGTGGTACGTATAAATAACCCAGAAAAGTCATTAAATTTTCTTCAGGTTGTCAGTTTTTTCTAATACTCTAACTATATTTCTCTCTCTTTCTGACTGAATGGCCCATTAAATGCTGTTTTATTGTCTTTTAATATTAAATTGATTTAAAATAAAAGCATATATCATTAGGACCTATGTTTTAATGAACAAACTCCTTCGATCTTCTAAGTCAAACTCCTTTTACACACACTCACACATATATATTCAACACATAATAGCTAAAGACATGCATACACGAATAAAAATAAAATAAACTTTAATATGGACCTTCATTCCAATACGCACCCAAACCGGATCCACAGATGATACCAATTTTGGGCTTGATGGGAACCAATTTCTTCAAAAAGTCGGCAGTTTCTGTTAAAGTTTCGTAAGTATATCTGAAAAGAAAGAAATTGAATTAAGTTTTTATTTTTTTTTTAAATTGTTTATCTAAACTGTACAGCCTCGAAGTATATTGAAATCCAAAACCCCACAAAATTACTTATTCTAAAAAATAAGTTTTGAAAGTATTATTGATAAATTCACTTTATTAATAAATGTACTTTGTGATCTGTCAAAGTTATTTGATTTATAACAGTAACATTTTGGTCGGTTATTGCATTATTTGCCAGGGTGTCCACTTCCTCATTGCCGATTATTCCCATATGGAAAGATACCCAAATGAAGGTGATCTTTTTATTGAGTCTAATTAGGATTTGGTTATTGTATAACAGAGTATATAAGGAAGTGGAAGGGTTTATTGAAGACAAGTACTTTTTCCAACTTTCTCGCTTTCTCTTTTTGATTAATTGTCTGCTCTAAGATTTTTAAACATTAAAAGATTATCGTTAGTGACGGACTGGACAAGGAAGAGGAAGAGTCACAACACCACGCCAAAATCAGTTCAGATCAGGCTTAGTGAGATCAGATAACGTTATGTTTTTACAATTAGACATTAACAAATACAAGTAGCAGCTGTTCTTAATATTCAAAAATTAGCAAGAACACTATGCAAAGGTGTGTTGCTGAACAATATTTGTATGTGAGAATAGCAGCCAGAGTACCAGCTTTAAAGGTATAATAGAACTAGATTGTCATTTCTCAGAGAGCTTCTTGACTGAAGCACGTATTGTTCATAGATATATCGATGTATTACTCATATAGATGTGTAAACTTATACAACCTCTTGACATTATTCAATGGACATTTTGTCTAACCATACAGTAGCTAACCACACTTTGCTCCTTACATCGGAAATCATTTTCTTTTAATGCGTGATAATATACGACCACATGTTGCACGTATGTTCCGTGTTATTTAAACGAGATTATACAAACCATGAACTGACCTGACCTAAATCCCACAGAAAATTATGATCGTCTACTCAAGGGCCGAAAACCACTCTGTTTCTTTTGACGATATGAAAGTTATGGTGAGAGAAGTTTGAGATGCACTTCATCAAGATCAAATACGACACCTGATGTTAAGTGTGCCTAGTTGTTGTGAAGAATTAATTAGAAATATATGTAAAATTACTCGTTATTTAACTGGTTATTGAACAACTAGAACGTGCTTTAACTGCTTCTTAACTACTTTAATTTTCTTAACTTATCTTGGGGAAAATCAGCAAATATAGAAAATGGAATTGGTGCTTTTAGAACCTGTGGAGTCATGCCTTTTGAAACCTGAAGCAATACCAGAATATGCTTTTCTGTCATAATCTACAGACTCCAGTCCTCAAGACACATCTCTCCTTTGCCAAAATAATATGACTGGTATCGCTATTGCTGGTCCTTGTATCTCAATAAAAGATCAATTCTGGTAACTCAAGGAGCTATGAAGATATTTATGTCTCGATCGTATAAAACAATACAATAATGAGTATGTAGGACTATATGAAAATGTATCCCCCTCGAGGTTAATCGACAAAATACATCCAGTGCCTTGTGTCAATGAAGTTGAGACTTCAAAAAGAAAATCTCTAATTATACCAACAGTTTTAAACTCTCCAAAAAACATAGTTGCCTTAAAAGAAAGAGAAGAAAATAGAAAAGGAAGAGAAGGAAAGAAGAAAAACATAAAAGACAAGAAAAAGGGAAATGAAAAAGCAGTTAGAGTTAGAAAATGAACAAGAAAGGTTTAAAGTAAAGAAAAGGTCAGACTACTTAAAAGACCTACTAGGAAAATCCTCAACTGCATCTCCATTTTGTCAGTGATGATGAAGATGATTTACTTTGTTTGAATGAAGATGAATGTGTAGATTGTTATAAAGGTACCACCAAACCACTAAAACAGAAGAACTAGATAAGTACTAAATTTGACGAAATATGCGATGACTATGACTAAGGGAATTGAATCATAAAAATGCTGGAAATTAACATTATGAATGAAAAAAAAAAAAAACGAAAAAAATATGTTCATTCAGATGGAAAATTGTTTGATTTTGTATCACATTCTAAGAAAAAGGTTTATAATTAACTATTATGTATTATAGTATTACATATTTTTTTAAATAATTGCAATACATTGTTTTATTTAAAATTATTTGTCTTTTTTTATTACAATGTCCTTAGCATTACTGGCGCAACTATTCTCTATATTCTGGTCCAACACAGATGGTATGGGATTGATAAAGCACTTGTCATTAAAAAAAATATTTTAAATTGAACAAATAGCCAAATTTAAGCGGCCACCTTAAAAATGGTTAATTTTTTATGTCTTATATCTCCTAAACCTGTTGTCCGATTTAAGTGATTTTTTTAATATGTAATAGACTTATTCTTTGACAATATCGTTATAATAATATGGTTGCTAATCAGGTACATTTTCATTGTATACCGGGTACAAGAATTAAACTGTGTTTTTTTCTTAAAGTTTGCATCACCCTGTGGAATATTCTAGCATTTATAAAATATTGAAATTAAAACCTAACTATAGCCTCATGTTTTCTCAACATTTTGTTTTTTAATTCATTCGCTTATGTTGGATAATACAAAAGTTAGGTAGTTTAACAACTAGCCATGTTTTTCATCAAAACAGACGATTTAACTCACCAGCAAAATTAACCCCACTACCTTTATTATTGTTTTGTTTACATCACATGTGACAGTTTGTTTCCTAAATTTGTGTCATCGAAGGATTTTTGACATATATAGTCGTTGTATGATATTGTTGCAAATCTGTTTCCGTGTTAATAACAATTCTTGAACAATTTGCCATCAGACGATTTCGGGAGATAGGATCGTACAACCGCAGGCCAAGTCAAGGCCGAAGATGCACTTCAGTTCAAAATGACCGCTTCATTGTCGCTAAAGTATTGAGAAATCGCTTTGCACCACTCCTCAAGCTCGTAGGTCTCTTCTTGAGGTGAGAAACGTTAGTGTGAGTAGACAAACCATTAGAAGAAGACTATCAGAAATAAACTTAAGGGCTTTTCATCCAGCTAGTGCACCACAACTACTCCCACAACACCGTAGGGCTAGACTTCATTTTGCGCGAGAATATGCTAACTATGGTAGACTATGGTAGAATGAAAGAATATACTGTTCTCAAATGAGAGCAGAATAGCCCTAAAAGGTCCAGATGGACGCCAACGTGTCTATAGGCGTCAAAATGAAAGGTTTAATGCGTGTGCTATAACCGAAACAGTGGCTTACCGAGGAGGGTCAATACAGATTTGGGGAGGTATTTCTTACAAAGCGCGTACTGATCTTGTTGTTCGGTAAAGGCAGTGTGAATGCCCAAGTATACGTGCAACAAGTTCTCCAAGATCATTTTATGCCTTTTGCACCATTCATTGGTGATAACTTGAGACTAATGCATGACAATGCACGTTGCCATACAGCAAGATCTACTCGTGAGTACCTTAATGAGGTCGGGATTTAAGTTCTACCATGGGCAGCACACAGTCCCGATCATAACCCAACTGAGCATATCTGTGACAACCTCAAAAGACAGGTAAGATCAAGATTACCAGCCCCTGCATCCTTTGAAGAGCTGAAGACAGCTGCGGTAGAGGAGTGGCACAATATACCCCATTCTGATATCCAGGATATCATGAATGTATTGCCAAACCGGCTCCAAGAAGTCCTAAAGGCTAAAGGTGGCAACACCCATTACTGATACCCAATTTTTTTCAATTAGACTTTGATTTCCAAAATATTTGAATTTTCTTCGAAGATTTTATTCATTGCATTTTTACTGAAATAATTGACGTTTTTTAAAAAGATTATTGATAAGAAAATTGATAAAAAATATGTATAGTTGTTAAAGCACCTAACTTTCGTATTATCCAACATAAGCGAATCAATCAAAAAATAAAATGTTGAGAAAGTATGAGGCTATAGTTACGAATTAATTTCAGTATTCTACAAATGCTAGAATATTCCAAAGGGTGATGCAAACTTTAAGAAAAAAACACAGTTTGATTCGTACACCCGGTACATACAATGAAAATTTACTTGTTTAGAAACAATATTATTATAAAGACATTGTCAAGGAATAAGGCTATAACATATTAAAAAAATCACCTAAATCGGACAATCAAAAATTACCCATTTTTAAGGTGGCCGGTTAATTTTGGCCCAGAGTGTAGTATATAAAATGCAGTAGTTTAATGAACAATGAACGTTTATAATAACAGAACATCAGAGTTCTGAGTTTTTATTTCATACGAATTGGGTCAATAAGCACTGAGTAGAGCCAAAATAAAAAAATTGGTCCATCCAACCCAGAATTACCCTATAATGTGAAATAAAATCATTGAAATTTAATCAACGGTTCAAAAGAAAAATAGTTTAAAACTTATGGTGCATTTAACGTGTTGCGTTAATTTTGGAGAGTAGTGTATTTATATATTAGGAGATCCCAGACCTGATGGAAATCCTTTAATAAATAAAATAAATAATTTTAAACCACATACATATTTCTATTAATTTTTTAGAGAAATGTATGTTTCATTCATTGAATTTCATAATGTGGGAAATACCAAGAGACCAACGTTTTATAGAAATACACTTTGTGGAATTTCCGTATTTATCTATTATTATTGGTTCATCGTCCCAATCATAAAATTATAATAAAGTTACTATTCAGTTTTAAGCTTAACCTATAAAAAATCCACAGTGTAGTAAAATATGCGTAATATAAAATATACTGGAATTTTTTAGATTTATTTAAACTTCTAGCTTAACTTACAAATGGAGATTACTGAACAATAGATAGCAGGATTTATTAAACAAACCTTTCCAAGGCAGCTACTCTATAAACGGATATAAAATTAAAACACAAGAGCATAAATATCTTTTGTACACAAAAAGAAAAATTTCAGATAAAATATTTTTTTAAACTGTAAACACCTACTATATGTAGTATTATATAGTGAGTATCTAAAACACAT